AGCATTTCATTCAGTTCCAGCATAACCTCCTCTTGTACTCTTCATTCTTGTATTTTATGCCTTGGCTAATAAAGACAAGTATCCCCTATCCCTTCTTAACCATCTTATCTACCTGTCCTGCTACCTTCTGGGATTTCTGGATTTGCACACCAGTCCCTCTGATCTTCAATACTTTCTCGGGTCTTACCTTCAAAATGTAATCCCTCGTCATGTTAGCCCTACCCAAGTTCATTACCTCACATTTTTCAACATTGAATTCTGTTTGCCACTCCTCTGCCCAGCTGACCAACCTAGTGATATGCTCCTAACAGTTTAAGACTATCCTCCACATTAATTACCATCTTACCAATTATCGTGTCATCTGCAAACTTCTTAAACATATCCAGCAGTCTGTCTAATTTTCTTACCGGCTGCATGGGCCTCTGAGGGCCAAGCGCAGCAGTGACTTCAGGAACACTCAGCAACACTTTTCATTACTTCCTTAAAAATTTCTTTACAGTTCACTATACAAGTTGTATGTCATCTGCAAATTTTTAAGTTGTGCCCTGTATGTCCAAGTCCAGTTTATTAATATAGATCAAGAAAAACAATGGCCCCTGGAGTGCTACACTGTAAAACTTTTTCCAGTCTGAAAATCATCCATATACTACTAATCTCTGTTTCATCTCAGTCAGCCAACAACAAACCATGCTATTAATATTCCCTTAATACCATGCTTTGGGCTTCAGCTTTAGAGATGCATCTGTTATATGGCACTTTATCAAATGCCCTGTAGGAGCCCATATGGGTATTTTCAATGTTAATCTGTTCAGAGATGTTACTATACACCTCTGGAGTAGGTGGGACTTGATCTCAGGTGTCTTGATTCAAAGTCAGGGAAATTACCATTGCACCACAAGAGCCCCTTAGAAACACATATATTCTAATCAACTCTCTCAGTAATTTCATTAAAAAAAATCAAAGCGGTCAAATATGATTTGTATGTAACAAACCCTGCTGGCTTTCTTACTGAAACCGTACTTAGCGAGGTGACTTTGTAATAGTCATGTTATTAAAGTTATAAAAGGCATGGATGAGGGTTGCAACAGCAGATGAGATGAGGCAAAGACAGAAATGGGTGAAGGGCAGTCTTAGTGATGGAATGGATCTGTGGTGAACAAATTGGTTCACCTCAGGTAGCTGCCTCAGAAAGGGATGGAATAAGAGGCTAGCTAATGCATTTTGTGGAGGAGACTGAAGACAATAATTCCACTCTTCCCAATATTTTGCCGCTTGAAGTTTCTGCTGATCCAATAATGGGTGTCAGACAAGCAGTCTGATAATTTATAGCCAATGAAGGGATCAAGAGGGCCTGGAGTGAGATTGAGCTTGGTGTGTTCAGGATACATGTGGAAACTGATGCTGTACCTTTGGATGATGTCATTAAGGATTTATTTGGATCTTTATGCCACAAACCAGACTGGGAAGTCCAATTTCATACTGAGTCACTCAGATTTATCTTTCCAAATCAGTTTTTCTACCAATAATCAAAACACACATGGGAAAGTGGCTATGGAAGTAGGACTCATATCTATTGTGAGAGGCAGGGGTAGATTTAATCACAAATCACATTATCTCAAATGTACAATAATGTTTTTAAAAATTCTCATCACCATTCTTTTTGCAGTTTACAATTTGTAGTTTTATACTTTGAAGCATACAAATGTCAGAGAGCAAGTAAATGCTGATAAGCTCTATAATGCTCTGAGGCTGACTCTGTGAATTATCTGATCAGCCTCATTTGGTGGGACTTATTTATTAGACCAGGATTTGTTTCTCCTGAAAGTAGTGACGGCAGTTAGGAAACTCGAATTACAATGCAGAAAAGGGCCAATTCTTTCAGACTGGAATCGTTAACACAAAGAAAACCAATGAATATAATTCCTGGATGAACCTAAAGAGTTGAAATTATGCATAGAGATAAATTTAGAAATGCTAAGGCTGTTGCTACTTTAAACTTTCTTACAACAGGATTGAACATATTTTAACGTTGATAAAGAACATCACTTAAACATTCCTTTGTATTTTTTGGCATATAAAACTTCCTGAAAAAATGTTGACAATGAACAACTCTTATTTTGCGCATTAGGCAATTAGCATAATTATTCCATTAATTCATGTATCTGGTGACCCAACAGGCCCATCAAAATGCTCTGTGACTATCTGTGTGTGTGTGTCTGTGTGTATCTGTGTGAGTGAGTGTGTGTGTGTGTGTTATTTCTGAAGTGGTTAACATTCATGTTCCACCCTTTCTAAGGATGTCAAGACAGAGTTCACTCTAGTTTTCAGAGGGAGCAGGTGCTTCTGTACCAGTTCCCTAAAGTCCAAGTAATTACACCCGACTAAATACAGCTTTACTTATTGCTAATATGTTTCTTGTTATCTAAGAACAGTACATTTCTGTAGATACCTTATGGAGTTATTCCTCTGTCACAAATCCTTAGATCCAAGACAAAGCAAAGACAAAGGAGAAGGATTAGTGGGAGTGAACAGCCTCAAAATGCCCCTATGTAGTACCGTATACTGGTAAAGGTGACAAATACCATATGTTCCAGAAGTGGTCATCTGGGAAAATATCATACTTTCCTACACGTAAATGTACAATCAACAATGGTAGCAGAAAGGCAAAGCTGAATGTTTTGTTATCTGCAATTGCTTCTGTTTCTTTAATTTATAGATTCTCTTTGATTTATAAGTTTGGGTTATGTCCTGTTGACATTTTCTATACTATATGAAAAGACAAAAATTATTAAATAGATCAGTTTCTTTCATCAAAAATCTACCAAAACATCTGATAGTTTTCCCCAGCACATAACACCTTCATTGAGCAATGAGCATGAGATCGATTAGCTGATTCAATAATCTCATTTTCAAATAATTTCTATGATGTGCCAACTCCATATCTGTATTGAAGGCTTCTGAAACGAAACATCTGATTTACTAATAGTCAGTGGTAAGGAGGAGGCAACAAGATCTGAACAGAAGCAGCCAATCAGGAAGACTAATAGATTAAACTTAATTCTCTTTGCTTTTGAATAATCATCGAGATAGGAATATCTGCAGTGACAATAAACTATATTCAATCAATTTTGGTCGATCTTCCAAGGATTTTTAACTAAAATGATGACAAAGCAAATATTTGAATGACATTTTTTAAAAAAAGTAGACCCCTTATCTTCAAATTATGTGCACTTACTTTTCAAACTGCATCCATTAAAATGCAGTATTAATATGCAAGTTATAAAATGAATTTGTTAAATTAGAACAAGTATAATGCTGGTACAATAGCTTGCGAGTCTGTGTTATTAATTATCAATTCAAGACTACATGTCTTTCCACAACCACAGTAGCTACTAGGAGGCAAATACATAAGGGAACTATGAGGGGTTCATTTGTTTGCTCATCCTTTTCCAGTTAAATGGGTTGGAAAAAGCACCACTTAATGATATGCCTGATCATGGAGGACAGCCAGCACTGGCTATTTCATGTGACAAGTCAAGCCATGGGACATTAGCACATGATGCTTATGTTTATGCTGTATAACAACAATTGCCTGAGTGAATAGTATAACATTAGAATTTCACATCTGAACATTTTCTTTGCTAATACATATTCTATGTAATCATGTGGAATTCATGGTTAACCCTTACTGTGCCAAATTAGTAAGTATTCCACAATAGTTAATGCACAGAAGCAAGCCATTTGGCCCACCCAGAAAAAACACAATAAACTTGTGAATGTTGCATACTGGTCCAACTCATATTGTATACTCCAAAAAGTCACTCTAATACAACCAGTATGTTATTTTCTGTTTTTTCCTCTGGACAAATTCCTTATGCTACACTCAAGTTTCCTCCCATTTTTCTTCATTTAATTCTATCACTTGTTATAAATAAACTGAACCATTTGTAAATTCAGCGTAAAAACTATCTTTAAACTAAATTTAGAGTAACCATCTTCTCAAATATTATTGAAGGTGCTGTAAACCTCACTTTATAAATTGTAACTTAACACGTATTCAGTTTTTACATAACTGTGACAGATTTGTCAACATATCACTGATCTTTTATCCAACCAGCTGGTCAGTCGTGTTGTATAATTCTAACTTATTACAACACAAGAAGATTTGCGCTTGGTCAGATAATTCATCAAATAAACCAAGTGGTGCTTTTTTAAGCCCTTCACTGAACAAGAAAATTTTGTGACTATTGATTTGATATTATGTTTTACATATGACAAAGCTTCACTCAGTTGGACTTGCCCCTTGATATGGTACTTTAGTGCCAGCTCTAAAAAAAGGTTAAAATCTGCATGTTAAAATATTCAAATGAGGCAATGTAATGTAGTCAACATTCAATTCCTGTGCCATCTCTAGATCTTTGAATTTATGCCAAAGCAGCAATGCGGACTATTGTTTGATGACATGGTGTTGTGCCAATATTTAAGAAAACATATATTTAAAAAATTGATAGACAAGGGAATCAAAAGTTTTGGTTGGGGAATGGGTGATATGAAGACAGACAGAAAAGTAGGAATTGAGTCTACAACCAAATCATTTATGAACTTATTGAACGGCAGAGCAGTTTTGAAGGGCTGACTGGCCTAATTCTGCTCACAGGTCCTAAGTTCTTCTGTCCAGTAGCATTAAATGGTGTAAAATAAGATGCCAATTCATTATCTGTCTGTTTTGTGCTACTAGCATTGACTGGTTCTAAGTTCTGACTTCTTAGCTTGGCAAATGAAATGTTTCATTAGTAAACAGTGCAACATTCTCTGAACTGCTTCTACATGAAATCATTAAAATGTACTGAGTATTGAATACATCAGCAAAATGAGTGCGGTTAAATTCCAAGACTTTGCTACTGCAGGCAAATAGGAATATTTACACAAGTAAAATTTAAGAAAGTCAAAGAGGTTAACAAATTGGTATCCAATTCCTGTAACTTTCTTCCTTCTGACAGATGCAGATGGGAACCTGTGTCGAAGCAGCTACTTGTTGCAAGTTACACTGACTATGCATCGCTTCAATGTGTCGTCCACGGAGCTGCTGCAGAAACTCATCACACTATATCCTTTTGCTACGATATCACTTTACATGTCACCATTGAAATGTAACAGAATGTCTAGATGGTAAATAGTCATGTTATACAAGATAACTAGGTAACAGAATAAGATTAATTTTATTTTAATGATTTGTAAACATTCTTTTTGAGTTATGAAATAAAAAGCTGATGGTATATTTACTTTTCAAAATAAAACACACTGTTACCTCGTTGCTTGATGATGTTTAATTGGCAGTGAAAGTTCAATTTCATTTCTCAGCCTGTGTTTTACTCATATCACTTTTAAATGTTGTTCCAGTGCATCTGTATTGAAATAAAGCTATTAATGTTTTAATGTTAAGGCATCTTTTAGAAAAAAACCCATTAATTTTATCTTTGTGTTGATGAAAGTTAGATTGACTTATGTTTAAGGATATTATGTTAATTTCTCCTGTGTTTGGCAGAAAAGCAGATTTTCTTAGTAGATTAATAAAAGTAAAAATGAAATAAAAAGTAAGGAGTTATGCATTCATGTCAAACAAGTAAAACACATTCTCTCCTAAAAAAAACAAAGAACTGACTATGCTGGAAATCTGAGACATAACAGAAATTGCAGGAGAAACTCAGCAGGTCTGGCAGCATCTGTGGCAAGAAAGCAGAGTCAATGATTCAGGTCCAGTGACCGTTCTTCAACTCCACAAATGTTCCACAGATGCTGGATCACTAGACCGGATTCATTGACTCTGCTTTCTTGCCACAGATGCTGCCAGACCTACTGAGTTTCTCCAGCAATTTCTGTTTTTGTCATAGTACTTACGCGTGATCTAATCAATGTTCTACACAAGTTCAACAAAATGTCTTTGCTTTTCAATTCTATCCTGGTGGAACTAGAGCTTGTGGCTGAATTTTACCAGAAGATCAGCAGTGTCATTTTTGTCCAGTTACGTAGAGGGGTTCTCTCTGTAAGGCCTAGCAAGGTTTTCATACTATCATCCCAAACTCGCCTTATTAAGAAGGTACCACACTCTAATGGTGGCCTGCTTGTCTGATATTAACCGATTCTCCCGCTCAGTGTAGGCAGAATTACTTGCCATTGCTGGATGAACTTATTCCACAGATGCCAGTATCCTGTCACCAAGTCACCCTTTATTTACATGTGCGGAGTCCTCAGAGCTCCCTCAGAGCCAGCTGTCAGAGTGAACAGAACTCTGACACTCCTGTTTATATCTGTCAGCCAGGTCTCCCTGATTGGACCAGATTAACAGCCCCTATCCCCACACTGGAAACTCCCAGGACTCTTAGTGCAAGTGCCATATTTAAAAGGCCATTGTTCACCCAGTTAAGCACTGGCAGGCTTGTGTTGGCCTGCATGGTTTGTGACATTTGCCCTATACATGGTAGATAATGGGAAACTGGCAGCCCATTTTGTGGGCACAGACTTTGGAGGTCCCGTTAGATTAGGTGGTGCAGAGGAGGGCCATTCTATTCCCCCAAGATTGGCTGAGGAGCTCATGACACCAAATTCAGCGAAGCTGGTCCTGGTTTTCCACCTGGGTCAGTGTGGCATCAACCATCCATGAGGAATGTCCAACAGTGCTGGAAAAATATCAATGACCTTCTGCAGTCCACCGGGGTAAATGTCATTATTTTCTCTCTGCTGCCTCACACTCTCACTGTCTCTGCGACACTGTATCCAGCTCTAACCGAATCTCATGCTGTACCACCCTTAACAAATGACAGCCCAGGAACATTGCAATAAGAAGTGCCCTGTGCTTCAAAGTGCCACACTCACGTACGAACGTGAGCTGGAAGTGGTTCAGAGATGTGCCATGGTAAGGCAATGGGGCAGGTACCTGTCACATGGCAAAGTGTGTGGATGTAGGCTGCATGCAGCCACTACTGACAGAGAGTGCCCTGAGATATTGATGCCGTGTGTCCAGGATGGAGGTCCAGAGAAGCAAGTGGTGAGCTGGAATTGCCAGATTACTGCTCTGGCTTTCACATCGTAAATTCTTGGCATCTAGTTTCTGTTCTTTGGTAGAATGAGAAACTGCATGTTAAAGAGGCGAAATTAAGTTAATGAGTGATCATCCTTAGTAACAGCACTCTTGTTATTCACTAGTTAGAATCTTGTCTCAACATTCAATACTTGATTGGGAAATGACACTTCTTGATCTCAATGCCTAGAAAGGCCTCACTGGGCATCTTACCTAATTTTTCCATGTTTCTCAACATGGCTGAGCTCAGGAACTGGGAAGATTCTGCTGTCAGTGTTTCATTTGCTTTATCTTGTTAACCAGTAGGCAACCAGAGTGAACTGCACATCTGCACTCCAAAATCTCCTTTTACTCCTCTACCCTATTCTGACAGTTACTTTCCGTTGAGTATGTGGCATCTTTATTCTACTTATCAAAAAATATAATCTCATATTTATCAAAATGGAAATTCATTTGCTAACTGCAAGGGTATTACTGGCTTCTTGTATTTTGTTATTGTCTTCTTCAGTTTTAACTGTACCTCCCTGTCTCCACAATTTGGTATAATCTATATAATGTTAAATTATACTTCCCATCCTCAATTCAAATAACTTATGTGAATTTAAAACAGCAATGAACCCAGCACAAATCCACTTGTAACATCATTTTCCACCTTCTTCTGGACAAGGCTTTATCCTAAATCTTTATGTTTTTTTTTCCCTTTTGTAGCTAGCTTACTTGCCAGAGTTTACTTATTCCCGATCATGTGCTTTGAGGTCAAGCATGTCTCTAATATGTGATATTGTGCCAAAGCCTTATCATATTTACATATGAAGTTGGTTCATGATAACTGTCGCTCTGCTGTTTCTAGTATAGCTCTGATGTTGTCAGTTCCAGAAATTCCTCTATTCTGTGAGTTCATATCATTCATTGTAACATAAATATTGAATGAAATACAATCAAAAATAGATTATGCAAATCTTTATAATTCAATCTGTTATAACTCAATCTGAAATTGTGCTTTGAATGACCTAACCATTAGGGTTAAAATCATCGCCCTTTAAGAATCTATTATTAAGGATAAGATTGCAGAGTACTTGGAAGTGCGTGGTAAAATAGGGCTGAGTCAGCATGGCTTCATTTAGAGGAGGTCATGCCTGACAAATCTGTCTGAATGCTTTGAGGAGGTAGTGAGCAAGTTAGACAACAGACTGCCAGTGGACATGATCCATTGGATTTCCAGAAGGCTTTTGATAAGGTGTCATACAGTAAGATGAGACCATGGTGTTTGGGGCAAGATACTGGCATGGATAGAGGATTGGCTGACTGGCAGAAGGCACAGAGCAAGGTAAAGGTGTCTTTTCTAGGGTGGCAGCCAGTGACTAGTGGAGTTCCACAGGGGTCAGTGTTGAGACCACAACTATTCACGTTAAATATCAATGATCTAGATGAAGGAACTGAGGAACTTGTTGCTATTTTAAGATAATACAAAGATAGGTGGAGGGGCAAGTAGTGTTGAGGAAATGGACAGGTTGCAGAAGGACTTGGAGGCCGGGCAAAGAAGTGGCAGAAGAAATACAATGTGGGAAAGTATGAACCTATGCACTTTGATAGAAAGAAAAGAAGCATAGACTATTTTCCAAAGCTTTAGCAATCTGAAGCACAACAGGATTTAGGAATCCTAATTCAGGATATTGTTAAGATTAACATGCAGATTCAGTTGACAGTTAGGGAGGTAAATGCAATGTTAGCATTCATTTCAAGAGGACTAGAATGCAAGAGATGTACTGCTGAGGCTGTATAGGCTCTGATCAGACATCATTTGGAATATTGTGAGCAGTTTTGGGCTCCATATCTAAGAAAGGATGTGCTGGTATTGGAGCAGGTCCAGAGGTTTACCAGAATGATCCCAGGCATGAAGGACTTGTCATGTGAGGAATGGATGCATACTCTCTATCTGCTTTTTAGAAGGATAAGGTGGATCTCATTGAAACTGAGAGGCCTGGATAGAGTGAATGTGGAGAAGATGTTTCCACCATATAGGAAAGACCAGGTCCCAAGGGCACAGCCTCAGAGTGAAGCAATGACCCTTGAGAACTGATATGAGGAAGAATTTCTTCAGCCAGAAAGTAGTTAAGGGCAGTTAATCTGTGGAATGGATCACCGCAAAAGAATACAGCCAAGTCTTTGAATGTATTTAAGACAAAGATAGATAGATTCTTGATTAATAAGGGGATCAAGGGTTATAGGGAGAAGGCAGGAGAATGGATTTGAGAAGAATATCAGCCGTAAATCGAATGGCAGAGTAGACTCAATGGGCTGAATGATCTAATTCTGTTCCTATATCTTATGGTCTTATGGCTCTGTGTGGACTGTGAAATGTCTCAAATGAAAACAGTTCACCCAGTCTCCATCCAGTTCATTGTACATATATTGGAATTGAAAGCATATATATAACCATGTCAAGTTAATAGTAAACTTTTACTTGTATCAGAGAAGTAAGAAAGATGTTCATCTCAGCTCAAAATAATAAGAACCTTATAGCTCATCTGATCCATTCTATAGTGATAACGAGACTTGACATGATTAAATGGGGAAAAAAAAACACTTTTAATAGAAAGAAACAAACTATTGGTATCTGGTTTCAATTTCAGAAAATTCTAAACACCCCACTCAAATATTGGCCTGTCTCCGCCAAATCTGTATGGGTTGACAATTCTACAGAAGCCTCACAATGGAGGCAGCAGTGTTAAAGAATTATATTGTGTCATAATAATTCTGACCGTGAGTGGTAGAGGATTTTTAACATGCACTTACCAGAAGGATATCCATTATCAATAACTCCTGTTTCTGTAAACTCTTAACATTAAATGAGTGCGTGCATATTCTGTAATGTTTCTCATTCTGGTCAGTTGAAATGTTGTTCAAAAATAGATTCTAATCATTGAAAATAACCAATGTTTAAAATAACCTAGGCAACAAAAGCCACTTCAGAAGACCCATGAGCCATTATGATAATTAGTCTGCCATCCATCAGAGTGAATAGCAGGCTTGTAGAGGGATGAAAAGCTCCACAGATACTTGAAGAGGACAGAGCCATGAACCTATTCATTGTGAAGTGTTTAGTATGAGCAACAGCACAGGATATTAGTTTAAACTATACATAACATGTTAAAAACAGCGATTTATTTGTCTGTTCTCTTTCTTGGTTACAGGAGAAATAAACTCTCAGTGCAGATATTTTCAACTGGCCTAGAAGACATACAAAATCTGACCCTGTTTTTGTCCCTACGGGTGATGTGATTTAGTCAAATTATTAGATCACATTGTCATATTGTACTTTGCCTATCTCAAACTTCTGATGACAAATCTTATAACCCCTAGATATCGTCAACCCCACTTCCCCACACCTCAATCACAGTATTTCAAGTTCATGTGATTCTGCTATGACTAATATCACCCTCCAATCTAACACGAGTGATTCTTATTAATTTTGAAATCTGCACAACACCATGAACATCTGCTATGGTGGTATATGGCCCCTCTACCATATTCCTTTATATTCAATGCTAAAAATGGACATATGCTGTTTGAGACTCCCATTGTGATCACACAGTCAGTAACTCAAAATCCATGAAGTTAATCCTAATCCTAACCAAATTGATCATCAACTCCTTTGCAATTTAGAGACACAAGATTAATCCCATTTTTGCCCACCTGAAACCAGCTCACTTCATAACTGAAGCCTATCTATTCTATTGATCTTAGCTTGGCAATGTTCTTGCATATTAAATAGAGTCATAGAGTTATACAGCATGGAAACAGACCCTTTGGTCCAACTTGTCTGCATCCCAATCTGTCCTAGTCCCATTTGTCAGCATTTGGCCCGTGTCCCTCTAAACCCTTCCTGTTCATATACCAATCCGGATGCCTTTTGAATGTTGTAATTGTACCTGCCTCCACCACTTTGTGACAATACTTTGGCTTTAAGAAGTGTATTTTGTTCTTTTTTTAATGAATAAAGGTTGAGACAGAGGTGTGGAATGGTCTTCTCAACTCCAATAAAGTAAACAACTTGTGAAGCCTTGGGGCTTTTTTAAGTTGAAACAATGCATGCAGCTAGGTGGGTTCAAGCTCCCACAGAACCAGGATGTTTAGTTTTAGCTTTCTGCAGTTGCTGGGGTCTTTAAGATGGATTTGGAAGCTCTTATTCTTCTCTCTTTTATAGCTAAAAGCTGAGGTTCTCTTCATGCTGCTGGAATTGCATGTGAAACAATCTATTTTACTGAATTTGCCTTTGCGAAGGGTGTGTTTATAGGATGTTACTATATTGGAACAGTTAATTAGTAGTTAATGTGTATATTACTCTGTTAAGCATTTCAATAGAGTTGCTGTTAAGCCAATTCTTTTATTTTTATTTTGTCTGTACTTTAACAGTAAGTGTAAAAATAAAGCATGTTTTGCTTGAAGTCGAGTAGTTTGACCAAAAAAGTTGCATTTGGAAAGCAACGCCTTACACTTAACTTTAAATTAAAACAAAGTTAGGGTCTAGGCTATCTTCTTCACATATTTTTGAGGGGGTTTGAGCTGGTCCGTAACAACTTCCTCTGGCAGCTCGTTCCATACATGCAGCACCCTCTGCATGGAAAATCTTACCCCTCAGGTCCTTTTTAAATCTTTAACCCCTCACCTTAAACATATGCCCTCTAGTTTTAGACTCCCCCACCATAGGAAAAAGACCTTGTCTGTTCATCCTATCCTTGCCCCTCATGATTTTATAAACCTCTATAAGGTCACCTCAGTTTCCAACACTCCAGGGAAAAAAGCTCCAGCCTATTCAGCTTCTCTCTATAACTCAAACCCTCCAACCCTGGCAACATCCTTGTAAATCTTTTCTGCACCCTCTCAAGTTTAACAACATCCTTCCTCAAGAGGGGCAACCAGAATTGTACGCAGTATTCTAAAAGTATTCAATGAGAAAAACTCAATAGGGCGGCTTAAAAATATATGTCACGAACAACAAAATTATAGGTAAATTGCTTGCTTAGAACGTGAAAACTGGTTTGTAAATGGGAAAGTTTATCAATACTAATAATGAGCAAGCCTTCATTCTGAGTGAATATTTAAATAGTGTTCAAAGAAAATTTCATTAATTTGGGTGTATAGTACAAGAGTTTGTGATGCTTCTGGCATTGGCATTTGTTGTGCTTTTGTTGCTTGAAGATGTTTTGCACCCTAATGCTCCAATTAATTCTAGATGAGATGTTGCAACAATGACTTGTTGCTCAACTTCCTGACCAAAAAGGCAGGGGGAAAGCAACATCAAGTGCACCACTGAATAAAAGAAAGTCTTAAAGACAAATTAAATCTGACCAACTATGCAAGTAAACAAATACTACTACTCTCATTAGACTTCATAAATCTTTGATCAGCATGTGTAACTGATAATGGTGCATGATTTTAGATAGCTCTGCCATTGCTACTTGGTAAAATATGTTTTTTTTTATGACATTTTTTAAGTACATCTTAAATTTGCAAAGAATTGCTTCCATTATATTCAACATTGGAGACCTGAAGTTGCACTCAAGGGCATGGTTGGTATGATAATGCAACTTATAGTGAACTATAAATTGCTGTGTTATTCAGCAGTGACCTTACAGAAGTCATTCATTTTGGGCTTATTTGAATATAAATAACAATTCTTCGACATTCAGCTGAAAACATTTTTCCTTAATGGTGACCTACATATCAAAATGCTTTAGAGCAAAACTGTGCTGCAGCTTGCCTGAAGGTCTGTTACTTTATAAGGTGAGGCTTTTCCTGGAAATAGTAACCACATCTATGAAAAGACAAAAAGCAAAGTGACTACCTGCAGAAGCTGCACATCTCATTTTCAACTCAGTTGGAAAGAATGTGGTTTACTTTTGCAAATGCTTTATTGAAAATAAGCGGTTTTTTTTTGCATGTGCAGTCTAAACTTTTGATGTGTTTTGAACTTGTAGTTTACTTGAGAAATGTTATTTTAATGTAGGTTCAATGTAGCACTAATACTATATGACAAACCAGCAAGTAGTCATAGTGTTAGAGCTATAACCCTAGCTGATCAATTTCCAGCTGTCTTTATGTTACATGTGTGAGGAAGGTTGCAAGTGTTAAACCGAAGTTTGATCACAGAATCATAGAATTTACAGTGCACTTAGAGGTCATTTGGCTCTTCATGCACTTTGAAGATACAAATAATTGCTCTTTCTTTTCACTTTAAGTATAAGTATATGCTGGAAAGCCATAAGGTATAATTTTGAAATTCACATTTCCCAGTTAATAACTACGACTCTGTTGTAGGTTGTTTTTGTGCTCCAGCAAACTTCACTTAGAAGGTGCATTGCTTGGTGCTTTGTGTGTTCACTGGAAATTAAGTTATGTAAGATTGTGTCAGGCACTTAATATTATGTGTATTACTGATAATGAAATATGTTAACTAACATCAATAAAAAAATTGAAACAAAGCACATTTTTCATGGGGAAATGAGCCCAATATAATCAATGAGCTATTGAACAACAGGAAAGTGCAGTCCTATCTCCAGTTAGCAATCTTTTCAAACAGCAATCTTGCTGCCACAGAAAATGCATGCAATAATAAGCAGGTACAAATTCCTTTCAGATTTTAAGTAGATTTAAATTAGGTCAGACGGCTCTATTCAGTCTATGAACTGCAGTTCTGCTTGTTCCAAACACAGCCATAAATGCTATACCACATAACAGCTGAGGCTGCCTGCAGAATCAATTCCTATAGTATGGAGACAAGAGACACTGCCCTAATAGTGAGAGGGTGACATAGTAGTTTCTGTAAAAGATGTCTCATATATAAAAGCATCAAAGGTCAGCTTAACATCTGATCCCAACCACACTCAAATGCAAAAATTGTCTGATATTACAGTCAGAAATTAGTTTGGTATAGGGTTTTTTTTATTATATCAGTTGTGTAACACTGGTTCAGTATTATATCAAGTTAAAGAGGTTCAGTTAGGTGAGAATAATGTGGTACTGGCAATATTAATGTTTCCTTCAGTCCTGTATCACACAATAGAGGTAATGTTCAGACACACAATGTTGGTGATGTTCTGAGACCAGAATCTGGAATATACTTGGACTTATAAAGTCAATGTTGTGGAGTTATCTTCTCGTATAAATAGTGCTATAATTTTTAGTGAGAGGTGTTTTAATGTGACAAATCAAAGAAACACCTCCACAAATTGATATACGAATTAATATATTTTGTTATATTATGACTTAATGAGAAGAGTTTTCTAAATATCAGGGCCTACTATTCCCTAAAGTCGACAAGATATAAAATCCCAGAGATGACCAAAATGTTCAATGACCCTGACTGACTGCTGCTCAGGACAGAAGTAATCACACCATGTTACTTCAATGATAGGGAAATTAAGAAAAAAAATCACAATAAATAAAGGACTTCTAATCCAAGCAACTTAAAATATACTCCTTCAAAACCCCAAACACACACACACACACTCTTTCAATCACGAGCAAAACAGTCAAAAGACAAACAGTTTAACACATATAGTATGGGTAGAAAGGAATATATATAGATTAAACAAAATTTTAAAGATCAAAGGTTTAGACACAAGGTGGAAAGTTGTTTTTACTCATGGTGCTCTAGATTTTTGTAATGACGAGATGGTTTTATCCGAAGAAAAACCAAAAGAACTGCGGATGCTGTAAATCAGGAACAAAAGCAAAGTTTCTGGAAAAGCTCAGCAGGTCTGGCAGCATCTGTGCAGGAGAAAACAGAGTTAACGTTTGGGTCCGGTGACCCTTCCTCAGAACCCCAAATACACACACACCCTTCTGAGGAAGCGTCACCGGACCCGAAACGTTAACTCTGTTTTCTCCCTGTGGTATTATCTGAAGTTTGATACTTGTCCTCCGATTTTATGGTTGAGCGCATGGCTGTTTCTGCTATGAATTATTCTTTTTAAGCATTTTTCAGTTTTCTGTTTATTTTCCCAACAAAGTTGGGGGTGGGGTAGTTAGTGGACCAGCAGGCTGTGGTTGGAGAGGAGAGGAGACGAGACAAAGAAAAGGATGCTTTCAGTCTGCAAGCTATGGATATTTTTCACTTTCTTCTGTTCTTGGCACATACAGCTGTTTTTAACACACTGAAGTTCAACAGATCAAAGGACTGTTTAACTCAAAAGGGTCTTTGTGCCATTCAGTCTCAAATTGTTCCTCTTTTTGCATCCAAAAAGTATCACAGTATTACACTTCAATGAAATGCAACATTTGATTTTCAATTTGCAAAATGTGCCTTTTTTACAGTTATGGCAGGCCAGCTTCCATTTCAGTTTACAGTTCCAAAAAATGAAAATACGTGACCTCTTAAAGTGCAGTAAACAAATTGTTACTTCTGCTACAATGAAAGTTACACGGTTTGTTTTGCAGGTACTGGATAAAAGAGTTCTGGATAATGTTTAAAATGGACAAAGCTCTTTCAGAAACAATGGAAAGTTTTCAGGAACTGGTCAGAAGGAATGGTGAAGAGTCACACTCCCAATTCATTGACACATCACAAATGTAAGAAAACTTGTTTAAAAAAAATTCCATTAAAAAAATTCAAATTATCATTTGAAGAATTATGTTCATTTTAAGAATATTTGTTCACAAATAGAGGTGAGGCAAGAGGGAACATTGGACTAAAATTTTGACACAATCTTCCGCAAACGTAAGCTCAGGTTTTTGCTCAGGATTCAGTGCCTCTCTGTTATGGTGAAAGTAGCTGGAAATTGCCAGTCCAGGTACAGAAATGGATTTGGCTTGGAATTTGAGCATGCATGGTTTGTGGAGGCAGTTCCCTCTACTCCTGCATGATTTTGATCAGATAGGTGTCTGAAGTGTGTAAATAACATCAGGTGAAATCAAGGATTAACCTTGTGCATTTTATTGGATAGCCAGAGTACCCTTTTGGAGAGGTATGGTATCTCAGACAACTTTGGGGGAGATAAACTGCCATTCAGAGGAGATAAAGCATCCTTTAGGAGAGGTAAGGCACTTATTTGAGAGAACACTCAAAAGATTATACTTCAGAGAATGCCCCATACCGTCAGTACTACACTATCATATTCTTGGGATTTTATTCTATAAATTCAATTTAGTTGTTATTTGGTATAATACATCTGGAAATAGTGATGGATTACAATGTACAGATCACTTAACAGTAATCATTTTCATAGTTTAAGAATTAATGAAGTCACTCCTTAATGATGAGAAGTGACTTGAGCTAAGGCTGATGATTCCATGTGCTATGCTGCTCTTGTGGACTAAAGCCTGCATTAGGGCTGGAGAGGAACTTGGAGAGGAATGGCAGCGATATTGTTATACACATTGATACTAACGACATTGATAAGATTACAAAGAAAATTCTGCTGAAAGAATTTGAACAGTCAGGATTAAAAAGCGGGCCTTCCAATGTAATAATTTCTGGATTAGTACCCGAGCCATAGGCAAACTGGCAAAGGGTAAATGAATAATCAAATGCATGGCTCAGACTGGTGTGGGGGTGGGGAGGAATTGGATTTGAGCACATGGAGCACTGGCATCAGTACTGGGGTAGATGGAGATGTTGGCCAGACTTAATTTGAACTTTGTTGGGATCAGTGTCCCAGAACTGCAGAGAAGGCTTTAAACTAATTAGACGTCAGGGGAAGGGAGTCCTGACGGGATACATGGGCTTTCAAAGCAAAAGGATATCGCAAAACTGCAGGGCAGCTATTCAGTTATTGATACTTATAGTGGAGCAGGAAGTGATAGAGAGTAGAAACATTTTAAAAATGCAGCCAATTGGGCCAAAGGGGAAAAACTGATTTTTTTAAAAAAAAGGCAAAATTAATGGCTCTCTATTTAAATGTTTGTAGTATTTGGAGCAAAATTAAATGAATTAATGGTACAAATAGAAGTTAATGGTTATGACTTTATAGCTATTACAGAGACATGGCTACAAAGAGATCAAAACTAGGAACTAAATATCCAGGAATATATGACTTTTCAAAAGGACAGAGAGGAAGCAAAAGGTAATGGGCTTGCTTTGTTAGATGAATTAGGTATGATAGCAAAAAATGACACGATAGCAAGGATAGGAAGATGTAGAAACCATATCGGCAGAGGTAAGAAATAACAAGAGGAAAAGACATTGGAGGAAATGGTCCATAAGCCTCTGAACACTAGCTATATTGTAGAGTTTTTCCTATGGTGGTTATTAGACTAACAGGTCTAGCTAATAGTTCTCTCACTCCCTCTTATACACTGTGGTGTTTCATTTATCAGTTTCCAATCTGCAAAAACTGTTCCAGAGACACAAAATTTTGAAAGACTCCTCATGCATCTACTATCTTAATACCCACCTCTTAATACACTCTAGATCATCAGGCTCAGGGGGTTTATTTACTTTAAGTTCCACTATCTTCTGTAGTACTTTAAAAAATGTACTAACGAATTGCAGTGCCTTGTTAACACTAATCCCTATATTCCCCATTACGTCTGGGAGGGTTTCAGTATTTTCCACAGTGGAATCAGACAAAAATTATTTGTTTAGTTTGTCTGTCATTTCCTTATTTCTCAATTCTCTTGACTCTGCTCATTATGGACCATGTTTATTTTTGTTAATATGTTTCTTCTCACACAGTTCTAGAACATTATTTTCCTTGCTATTCCATTTGTGATAATTAACTTGCAGCCCTATTCCACTTGACAGACTGTTTTACTGAAGGGATGGGAGCAGCATTTTCTTGGGGTATCATTACACAGGTAAGGAAGCCAGAAGTACAGGAGGGACTTTCCTCACATCAGAATTGTTGAAAGACTAATTACTCAATTCAGAGAATGATTAGGGGTTTTATGCTATTGCGATATGAGCAGCCTGGTAGCAACAATGTGGAAAACACAGCAAGGGAAGGTGGTCAGAGATGTACAGATAACAATGTTGATATTTCAATGGAACAAAATGAGATATTGATCTAAGAAACGGGGGAGAGGAGGAGAAAGTATTTCAATAAAATATTGCAGGCAAGAGAACAGATTCTTGAACTACAGAACAGTTGATGGGACACTCCGATGTGTATCACATTCTGTTTGATGAATATTTTTTAAAAGGACTGTTTGGAAATCTTTACATTTCTTTGGCAGAAATACACGTGATTGGTCACGGAAAATCACACAACGGATAAAACCAAACTGTAGCAAAAAGCGAAAAGTTTCTCTCCTATTTGATCACTTGGAGCCAGGAGAGCTGGCTGAACACCTAACCTACCTCGAATTCAAGTCCTTCCGGAGGATCTCTGTAAGTGTACCATCAATTGTATTGAGATATTAAAGGGAAAGTAGTACGATTAGATTTCTGTCTTAAAATGATCTCTCTATTTTACATTACAGAGTGAGATAAAACACTTCTTCAATTTATTCATTTAAGACTCAAACACTTATAGATAAATTACAAAGTAGAAAATTGTGATTGATATGGAAATGATTGATGATGTGTGGGAAATCATTAAATTCTGACAAAGCTGACAACACCAGTCTAGCAGTGAAGAAAATGATCCAGGGACTCCATTTATCATGCATTGAAACTCAATCAGTCAAACTTGGAATGAATCCCTCCAAACTTATCTTTGAATTACAAGGATTGATTCATATCAGAACTTCAAAATTCCCACTCTGAATGTCTAGTGATCTTTTAGCCTTTATGCATTTGTGATGCTGATACCTCTGCCCAAAATAGTTTGAGTAATACTGCCAACAATTAAAAATATTTTTTCTCAACGTGTCCAGAAGGTATAACATTGTCATTACAATTTTTTTTGCTGTACCCAAACTCTGATGAACTTTGTCCTTATAAAATACAATCCCTGATAAGTTTGGGAGGCACTTCATTTCATTGTGTTCATGCTAGATCCCAGCAAGAACAATTCAGCTCATCCCACACCTCTGTTTTTCCCCTTGACGCTATTATTTTCTATTTCATTCATTATCCAGTTACCCGTGGAAAGTCAGAATTGAATTTGTCCCCGCCATATTTCTTCTTTTCATTGAAACGCAGAAGGAACTCTGACCTTGTATTCTGAGATCTATAAGTCAGATTTGAAACTACCATGTACTGGGAATTCCACACTTGAACCTGCAAATGAAATCAATTTGACATTGGCCCTAGTTACACAACATCTTTCATGTTCTTGATTCACTATAAAAGTAGCTTTGGGATACTGTAAATTGCACAATTCTAGAGGACCAATGGCTGCTCTCTTACTAGAGACAACTAGTGGTGTATTTAACCTGAGGATTACCACACTTCAGGCAATAGGGTGAGGTTGAGAAGATAGGGCTTTTATGGTGACCAGGACAGGAATTGAACCTATGCTGTTGTCATCATTCTACCTTGTAAAGTAGCCATCCAGCCAACTGAGCTAACTGAATGCATGTAAGAATGATCTTGCCTTTCATGTCCTCAGGTCATCACAAAGCAATGACAACCAATCAAGCAATTTCTCAGTTAAATGTTGTAATATAAGAACCATGGCAGTCAACCTGTGCATGATAAGATCCATAACAGCAAAGGAATAAATGACTAACTCTTTCAGGTATTGCTGAGAGATAAATCTTGACCAGGACTTTGGGAGAAAACCCATCTTTTCTTTAAACAAAGCCTTAGAATCTTTCATGTTCACCTGAGACGTGGCAGATGGTTTAACATTTCATTTGAAAAACAGTTCCATAGTGTTGCACTGGAACAGTCCGTTACACTTTGTGATTAGGACTTACAAATCTCTGGAATGGAACTTGAACTTGCAGCCTTTTGAGTCAGAAACACTAATGCTAGCACTGAACGACAGTGGACACCTAGCATTATATTACTCTTGTGCCTCCACAGCAACATAGAAATGCTATAATATGCAAGGCATCACTTATACCTTCAGTACTACCTTTGGAGAGAGATTGCAGTGCATTACTGTGCCAGTGTCTCCCTAATGAAAAAACATAACAAAGGCATAGGTGCTGGACATCATTTGTTTCTCTTATTGCTGGTTGTTGAGCTGTATAGATCTTTTCGTCACATACAGGACCTTCCCTCCATCATAAGGTCAGAAGTGCTGAAGATTGCACAATGTTCGTGTACAAATACAGCAAGACATGACAATATCCAGGCTTGGGCTGACAAGTGGCAAGTAATGTTAATGCTACACAAGTGTCAGGCATTGAACATCTCCAACGAAAGTGAATATAGCCATCATCCCTTAACGTTCAAGGCATCACAATCACCATCATTACCCAACATCCTAGGGTCACCATTAACCAGAAACCAAACCAATCTAGCCATATTAATCCAATGTGTACAAGGGCAGTTCAGAGGCTAAGAATCCTGCATTAAGTAACTGATGTTCTGACTCCGTTAAGCCAATGCACAAGGCTCAAGTCAGGACTGTGATGGAATATTCACCATTTGCTTGAATGAGTGCAACTCTCAAGAAGCCTGGCACCATCCAGGACAAAGCAGCATACTTGACTAGCGCTATATCCTGCAACATCCACTCTCTCCACCACCGACACTCAGTTGCATCAGTGTGTATGATCTATGAGGTGCGCTGCAGAAATTCACCAAGACTCTTTAGACAGCATCTTCTAAACCCACGATTACTACGATCTTGAAGGATGAGGGCAGCAGATACATTGGAACCCCACCACCGGAAAGTCCCTGTCCAAGCCACTCACCCTTCAGACTTGGAAGTATATCAATTTCTTCAGTATCATTGGGTCAAAATCCTACAACTCTCTTCTAATATTCTGTGGATCTACCTACAACAAATTGACTGCAGCAGTTCAAAAAGGCAGCTCACCACCACCTTGCCAAGGGCAGCTAGGGATAGGCAATAAGTGCTGGCTCAGCCAGCAATGCCCACATCCCATAAATTAATTAAAGCATACAGGAAGATCCATTGTTAAACAAATTGCTTTTATTGTGACTTCAGTAATTGTACAGTTCAAATAAAAGTTGCTCTGCAACATAAAGGCAGTTTAAGGCAAACCAGGAAGTGAATTAATAGCAAATAGAATATAACTAAGCATTACTTTATCCAGTTTTCAGATTATCAGAACTACGTATTGACTGGCTGTGTAAAGGACAATCCCACGATGGAACGTTCTGTAGCTTTGTGTAATGGCATCTCACAATGGGTCCAGCTTATGGTTCTCAGCAGACCTACACCACAGTTACGGGCTGAAGTCTTCACCAAGTTTATTTGTGTGGCTCAGGTATGGATGGCACTAGTTCCTCTTAACAAATAGACAGCTTGTGTTGTTTGGTTGCCTTTACTATCATGGTAAATTATTAGTATATCTTGAGGCAAGTCAATTAAAATTTATTTTATCCATATTTTGGCTATAATATCACATAGTCTGACATAGTGTAATGTTCCAATGCTATTCAATGTCATTTGTTCTCATTTTAGGAATAAATTAGCGGTTCATACTGAGTCAGAAACCCATGCAACTTTGAGAACCAAGTACAAAATGTAAAATTATGAAGAATGCTGTCCAAACAAAGATTTCAACAAAAGATAAAAGATTAAATTGTCTTTGGGTCATAATTATAACTTAGCAAGGGAATTTTTCTTAAAGATTACACACACAGGGAAATATGTACTCTTAAGTATTTCAATAGATTATATATTTTAGTGTTTTGAATCCAGGTGGAGGTATCAATTATGGGTTACAATACAGTAGATCTGAATCATTATTGTTGTGCCATTTTTCTTGTTTGATTTAGAAGGCATTGTCATCTTACTTCTCTACAGAAACTCCAGCAGCTTCAGAACTTTAATACACTAATGGCAGTGGTTGGAGGTTTGTGTCATAGCTCAATTTCCAGACTCAAAGAAACCAGTGCTTGTGTCCCTCATGACGTTCATAAGGTTGGTGTTTTTCTTGAGTGTTATAAACTGGTCTTCATATCATCTTGTGACATTATAAGGCTTCATGAAATTCTTTTTTGTTGGACACTGCAATTCTGATTGCCACAACGTAATTCCCCTAAATTTCTTTTCCTCAAGTGTGACTCAAGCTGGAGTGTAGTTCCATAGGCATCAGTGCTGTTTGGTATTTTGAGGTTGTGCTTCATGTATGAGCCTAGACAATGCATACAATGGGGAATTGAACTGTGGGAGACATTACTAACAAGCCCAAATACCCACAGACATGGAGCTTCCAGAAGCAGTACTAAATAATGATCATGAGTAGGAGCGCCGGCTTATTTTCCCCTTCTGGCTCAGAGTTATTGAGGCCAATTTTTTGTTGTCTCTAACATCACCCTAGCTGACAAGTTTCTTCAATATCATGATGATGAAATTTCAAAAGACTGACAACTTTCTTCCAAGGGAGAACAAGAATAGCAAATATTCTGGCCCTTAGTAATTGTCAACTTCACATCTGTGGTAGTACAGTGTTGTTGATCCATTCTGGCTTAAAATAATATACTATGACCCTGTATGTGTCTTAGAAGCTGGAAAAAAATAAGCAGTTGGAAACAAATAATCAAAACAACAAGTAAAAAATAATGTATCTTGAGTGAATGCACAGTTTAGTTGTTCTTATTAACATATAAAGTACAAACAGTACAAATGTGGCATCATGTGTAGGTGAAATGATAGATTTAGTGAGCTTCCCATGTTTTTTTTTGGTGCAATTAAAGTCTAATATGCGTAAAAAAATCCACCAAATCATATATTCTCTGTGAAAAAAATGATAGCTTATTTAATATTTAATGTTATGCATTTTATGCAATTTAAAGTTTTGGCAAAGATCTGTAGCTCAGGTTGTGGATGAGGTTGTTGACTTGCTCACCGAGCTGGCTTATTTCTGTTCAGACCAGAAATGACTGTACTCACCATAACAGACCGGACAGTATAAATTCCAAGTGGAATAGAATAACATCGCTTCATCGGAGGCTCCACTGATGATGTCACCTAGTATGATGATAAAAACTCCGAACAAAAACAGGCCAGCTCAGCGAGCAAGTCAACCACCTCATTTTATGCAACTTTTCAGTTTCAAATCATCGCTTTTCAACAGGAAATTACAATGTAGATTGAAGAACAGAAAATGACATTCAGCCCATCCAATAAAGACCTTCCAATGAAGGCAACTTGATTATTATTCTATTCAAAGGATTCCTATGTATTCAGAAAGGCTCCCTTACAATATGTAGCTATCTGCCAAATAGTAGGCAGAATTTAATGTAATTGATATGGTTTCAGCACATGGATTAAAGAGCCAGTGGGAAACCCTGCCTCACTTCTGACGGGGAGGCCTGACTAGGTTAAGCGCCTCTCAGACACTTAACTGGATTCGGAATCCTAGGGGTGGAAATGCTGTCCACTAAGTGATACCAGAAACCATTCAGAACAGACAGTGCTACTGGCAGTAGTATGTGCTGTTGGCTGTGCACTGAGGGAGAGGCTTAGGATCAGCAAGGAATATGGTTCACATGTGAGCGAGGATAGGCAGAGGTCATGAGAACAGGGTGCATGGAAATCAGAGACATGTGCAAGGAGCAACCACTATCCCCTGCCTTATGCTGGGTTCCATGATTGAATACTAAGTGCCAAACAAACGTTGTCACCTGTACCCCCCTCCCCAAAACAGAAGATTCCTTAGGATAAAAGCCAAAACCAGTTCGGCAGAGTTAAGTAATCTCACAATCAACAGAACAAGGTATAAATTACCAACGTAACATGGCGATGGATAATCGCTGGTGGCGTATCTGATAATAAATTTCCATGCCTTTTTTAAAGTTTTCTTTGGACATTTATACTCCACAGCTGTCAAAAGGAAACTTATGTGGAAGGTAAATGATTCATTTTAAGAATAAACATTCAGATACACTTATCTGTAACTCTGGGTTTTTCCAACGTAGGTGATGAATGAAATGACTGAGCTGCTCTCGTCCAGTGGAAACTACAACAACTATAGACGTGTGTACAGTGAATGCATAGACTTCAAGATCCCTATTCTGGGCGTCCATCTGAAAGATCTTATCTCACTACACGAAGCCTTGCCAGATTGTGTTGAAGACAACAAGATTAATGTACACAAATTGCAGACTCTCTACAATCATATCAATGAGCTTGTGCAGCTTCAGAACACCGCACCTCCGTTAGATGCAAACAAGGACCTGGTTCATTTGCTCACAGTATGTCTGCCTGTACTTCGATTGTTGCTTGTTCTCAGTTCCTGATTCCTAAGGTCCACCACTGGTAGAAGCACGAAAGTGTCACTCCAAATGTTGGGGCATTCAGGTCTCAAAATGACAGGATAACTGGAGCTAAAGCTAATGTCATGAATTGAGCGTCTTGAGACAGTTTACTACAGTTTACTACGAAAAACATCCTTTATAAATGAACGTTGTGTTTGAAAAAGCTGGATAATACTATTTCTATAAACAGTTCAAAAGAAAGGTTCTAGAAAAGATAACAGTAACGCTGATTCATTAAGAGAAGCCCAAAATTTGGATAAAATAGTTCTAATCCTCAAGAACAAAGTATAGATCTACCATTTCCAATGTCTCATTCTGTACAAATCCTGAGATTGATACATTTACCATTTGAGTAATTATTGATGCTAGACCACACAGTTCATATTATAAAATATCAACATTGTGATTAGTCAGACTGATCACAAGCCAACCAGATCTGAAACTCTTGATCAAACCACTATTTCATTATTAGTAAAACTTCTGTCTGGTCTTTTAAAATGCCCATCTCTTTGTATGATAATTCCAAATTGAGGTGTAAACTCTATTATAATACATAATAAATACAATTTATAAGTTACTAAGTTTCTTTAACTTCACCAAATTATTTCCCTTGTGTTTCTAACACAGTATTTAACTGAAAAGAGCTCTGGAAAGTTGCTCCCTGAAAGTTGGTGAAATTAAATAGATAAGCATTAGTCTGAATCCACTATTCCAACAAACATTATTTTCAGCAGGTTCACCCCTTTGCACTTCTGTTCACAGGAGAATCTATGATTGAAATTGAAGCAGAGATCTTGTGAAAGCACAGATTCCCAGAATCTGCCAGGAGCCTGATCTAAGATTATTATTAGATGTAATTATATAAATTCAAATAGTGTTCTTCAGATGCAGAGTCATATGCAGAGCAGGACATGTGAAGTAGAATTCATTAACTGATAATAAGTCAAAAAGCTAAACATTCATTAATGCCTAAACAGTTCAGACTGGGACTGAGATAAATTGTACTTTGATAAATTATATTTGAATATTATTTTTCAATGTTACCTGTCTATTTATTGACAAAAATCAGTATTAAGTACACTATGATAGACACTTTACAGAATCGATACTTTATTGAATAACCTCTCCTGTCACAAAGTGTTGATCAAAGCTCAGGCACCACTTTCCAACGAGAAGGTAAACATGAGAATATGAGCTGTCACCAGACATCTGTATACATCTTGGCTGCCTGCTCAACTTCAGCATTGCTGGAAGGTTGGGTGATGTTATCACTTGCCAGTTTACATGGTACACAGTTCTGGGATAGGTTGGGAGCAAGAGGATAAAGAAATGGATGCTCATTCGTGTTTGGGTACTACAAGAGAATTGCTCATGGTAAATAATGTAATAAGTGACAGTTTTGCTTTCTCAGAGGGATTAAGAACATAAGCTGTAGGAGCAGGAAAAGGCTGCTTAGCCTTCAAATTTGCCCCACTGGTCAAATAAGATCATGGCTGATGTGCCCCCGGTTTCAACTCCTCTTTCATGCCAACTCCTCATGGCCCTCAATTTCCTGATAAACCAATTATCTATCTCCTCTTTTTTTTTTTTTTTTTAAATGATTTTAGTGATCTAGCCTCCAAAACACTTTGGGATAAAGAATTCCAGATATTTACTAGCCTGCGAGAGAAGAAATTCCTTTGCATCTCAGTTTTAAATGAGTATTCTCTAGTTCCCCTATTAGTGGAAACATCTTCTCAACATCTACCCTGTCAAGCCACTTCAGAACCTCATATGTTCAAAAAGATTGCCCGTCATTCTGCTAAATGATAATGAATAAAGGTCTAACTCGTGTGCCCTCTAATTATTTTGTTTGTGTGGTCCCTGGAGGTCAATGCGCAGCAGCAACATCTGGAACAGGAAATCAATGCCACAATTGCCGTAACTGGACCCTTGGAGTGGCTGGGAGCATGCAGCTTTGAAGGAATGCTATTCTTGATAAGACAATCCTTTCACCTCACAAATCAGCTTAGTGAATTGCTTTTGAACTGCCTCCAATGCCAAGTATATCCTTTCCTAATATGGGGACCAAGAATGTACACAGTACTTCAGGTGCAGCCTCACAACATCCTGGTAACAAGACTTCCTTATTTTTAACTCCACGCAGTAAGGGCCAAATTTCCATTTGCTTCCTAAATTACTTGACTTTTCATGCACAAGAACACCCAGATCTCTTTGCGCTGCACTTTTTTGGAGTCTCTCATTATTTAAAGAATATCTTGCCTTTGGATTTTTCCAAACAAAGTGCATGACTTCACATTCCTCTACATTAAACTCCATCTGCTAAATTTTTGCCCCCTCACTCAACCTATCTATATCCCCTTGCAGATTCCTCATGTCATCATCACAGCATTCCACCCCACTTATTTTTGTATCATCAACAAATTTGGATACATTACCCTCTGTTTCCCCCCGTCCCTCAATTAGAGAACAGTCACATATTTAACAGCTATTATGCATTAAGCGCACCAGTAAAGACATAATTTGCTGTTTGCTTTGTCTGCTTATGGTGTGTTTTACCAGTGATCCATCAGGAATATTTTCATGCTAAGCACAATGTTTCCATGCATTTAAAAATCCTGAAGGGCCATGCCAATGGCCAGTGGTCTAATCTCCACTTCTGAACTCATTCCTTGCTAATTTCAATGGTACAGCAGTAGAGTCAGTACAATTAACCAGTCAAGGTCTGAATTAGGAAAGGGTATTCTATCGGTCATGGTCTTGAACCCCTACTTTATGAATAGCTGCAGAGGAAGGACTAAGGCATTCCTGCTGTCAGCCCTAACACCCATCATCACTACTCATATAAATAATATTCATAGGGGTAAGCTTCTAATGATCTGAGACAACATGCCTTTGAAGTCATGCTCCAATGAGATAGTAATAAGAGAGAGGAGAAGGTTGGAAGAGAATCAAAAGGATTTTGGCCATGATTGAGATCTATTTCTGAAAATTTCCGCATCTAGATTCTATTTAAAGGAGCTTTTTGTGCAGTCAATTCAAGCGTGACTCCAGCAACAATCATTCTATCATAAGCTATCAGTAACCACGGTTACTGATGTTTTCTGCAAGTATTTGGTATGATTTGAGCAATTGGTAATCATTAAGTCATTAATTAAAATGAACAAGTATAACATTTCTAAATTAGTAGATCTGTCAGTTTACAATGAAAGGTTCATGTCAAAAATGAGTCATTTATACAGTGAAGTCAGTTAAAACTAAAACATGTGTTTTAAACTGCTTATGTAACAGCATGTATAACTTATGTATTCTGCATTATTTCAGCTGTCTTTGGACCTCTACTATTCAGAAGATGAAATTTACGAGCTTTCGTATGCCCGTGAGCCAAGAAACAACAAAGTTCCAGTAGGGCAGTTTCTTCAAACTATTGCTATCAGATGACCCTGATTTTCATATTAAATGCTCTGTTAAATGCTCGTTATTGCTCTCTATAACCTTGTCAGAATGATCAATTACATTTCATGAAAAAGTGCAGATGGAGAAATTTAAAGACAATTAAATTCGGTTATATTCAAATCAGGGTCGCTGGTTCTGAAGAAGTTAGTAATTGATTTCAGTATGAAAGCAATTTCTAAGTATATGGGATCATTTAACGTAAAAAAAATCATACAGTTTGGAAGTTGAACTAAAAACTTAGAACACAAACACATCTCCGTATTTATAAATGTGTCGGGTCAGTGGTAATCCTAAATGAGATGCTAACATGATCTTATCTGAGCCATTTTAGATTTCTCTGCAAAATATTTGAATTTAACAAAATATTGAGTGAATCATTTTAACTTTGAATGTCATCAGTAGAAGTGTATTACAAGTGACTATAATATAAAACAGACAATATCCTATCAGTCAATGCTAACATTACTCACAGATAACTTAAACTTCTGTTGGTCTGACTATACATAATGCCACAGTACGATGGGGCCTTCTGTGTGGGTGTGCAGCATGTTTTCCTGTCTTTTATGGTTGCTCCAAATTAAACCTTTTTAGGACAATTCACCAACTATCTGTTTTGAAATGTGTTGCCCACAAAGCAAAATGGAGTGATCATGTGCAGAGATGTTTCTGCATAACTATCTGACAGTTTATCCTCTTCCTTAGAAATTTTCCCTTTGACATAATTATTGATATAACTGATGTAGCAAAGGTAGTTTTAGGGATATGTTTTGTTTTGAAATAATCAGCCGTAGGTGTGCTGGGAAGCAGCCTGTAAAAGCCTACTAACGATACTGATCCTTTGAGTCTTTGTGTGGGATATCTATTCACGTTTGTTGAGGACCAAGAAAGTATGTCCATGCACATCTTCCCCATCTGGTTAGGAAGTGGGCAATGTATCATATCTCTGGGGACTAATGTTGAGTCTGTATTAGGAGGTGTCTACAGTTGAAGACTAAATTCTGTATTCCAGCTAGTCTTATTGCAAATAAATTTTGGGGCAGTCTGTTGAATGTGTCTATTGGTGCAGTGGCCTCAGCTCCAGAACTCAAGAAATGAGATCCCACTGGTTTGCTTTACTTATTAGCTCTCTTAAATTATTTTGCTACTTTTAGTGACTTGTACTCCTGTACCTACCAGAGCCCTCTGCTTCTCTGTCCTATCTTAAGGAGTCGTGACCTCTGTTCTTTTTAAACCAAAATGTATCACTTGACAACCTTCTGTTTGAGGTTCATGTCAATTCCACATTCATTCTGCAAAGCTCTTTGTGTCTTCTTCCACTTCACTGTAGTCCTCTGCATTAATTACACACTTCAATTTGGTGTAGTCCACAAATTTTGAAATTTTACTTCACACCCAAATTCCAAATCACCTAAGTAAGTACCTACCTTTTGCAAGCCTACTGCCTGTTTTCTGTTTTGTAGCTAATTGCTCTCTGTTCTGCTCCTTGTCTCCTGATTCCAAGGATCTGACCTTTGTCATGAGTCTATCATATGAAAACTTATCAAAGACAAATTGAAAATTCAAATATTACGTCCACTGCATTAGACTTGTATACCCTTTTGTTACTTATTCAAATAAATCAAATAATTCAATAATTGTTCAAGCCCAAACTTCCAATTAGAAGCTGTCTACTTGTTCTTGCATTTTTACTTTGTGAATGGTTTCTAATTGGTTTATAGTACAGGGGCTTTGTCCTGTCTCCCTTTTTAAATATAGGAATCATATTAGCTCTCTGACAATCCTTTTGTCCTACTCTGCTTTGGAATGAAATATTTCGTATATGTGATAGGGTCTCTCCTCTCCCTCTGTAATCTCTTCCCCAACTTTTATTTTTTTGTGAATGCTATCCATCTGGATCAGGGTTTTCATCCTCTCCTAAGTTTGATAAGTATGTCAATTATTGACTCCTTCCCATCTTTACCATCTGTGTATCATTCTGAATCTCATATTCTGTTGTCTGTTGTGGAGAATGGGTTAACATCAGAAGCATGCATGACGATATAACAATGATATCAGTGTACATTATCAGATGGAGAGATTTGGAATGTGGCACAAATTGTCACCCCATGTAGCAATCCAACGTAAAAAAAAAGAAAGAACTGTGGATGCTGGAAATCAGAAACAGAAACAAATTGCTGGAAAAATTCAGCAGGGCCCCCAGTTTCTGTGGAGAGAAAGCAGAGTTACTGTTTTGGGATCCAGTGACCCTTCTTCAAAACTGATCCAATGTAAAAATTCAATGTACCTGTGTACCCATAACTGCAAATGAAGACTTATTTTAAAAGACACCACGAACCCTTGTAACATGCAATTTCAAGAATAGATAGTCTCAAATAACCATCTGCACCCACAGCAAAGCACCATACAATGTCAGTTTCCTTAGTAAATATTGAGGCAAAGCAATTATTCAATACTTCCAGCATTTCAAAGTGATTACCTATGAACTCATAGTAACCTTGTCCTGTTTCACTCTTGTTATTTATTTATAGAAGAATAATTTACTTTCTTTTCACATTCCTTGATAAAAAATTCTCTATAAAATTAGAAACTATGTCAAAATAATATCACTTAAATACAATGTTTATTGTGAAAAGGAACATCTGCCTTTTTACATAGTGATTGTCTTAACCCAGTTAGAATAGGGAAGTCACAAAAAGCACTGATATTTGGCACAGGTAACTTAAATTAGGTTCTCATTTAGTAACAAATTCAGAAAACAAATTATATTCAAAATTATATCGATTGTAAAAACTGATGACTGACTAAAGTATCTAACTATCAACATTTGATAAGAATGTGTTTTACTTATGGTTGGAAGTAACCAATTGCTCTTTATGATTGTATCATTCAGCCAGCAACTCCTTGTAAGCCACCTGTAGTAGCAGACTGGGCCCCTGGAGTCTCAACAAAGCCAGATCCCAAGACGATCAGTAAACATGTTCAACGCATGGTTGATGTAAGTTTTTTCCTGATGACAATGCTGTGCCATGTATTTAATTCATAGCTTTCTTTTCATTGTTACAATTAGAAGTCATTATATTGCATCACATAACCAGCATGAAAAAATCCCCACAATATTACTTAACAAAGCATTTATCCTCAAGAAAGGTTGGACTTTTATTAACAGAGCAGATTGAACAGAAAGAATGGTTATGATTTGCACGTACTAAGCTTTCAGTCTAAGGAAGCACTGAGCATTAGGGAAGAACAATGAGATCACGAATTCTAAACATTTGAAGCTGGGTTTTCCTGTAGACTTCTGAACTCAGCTGACCAACTCAAAGGGGAAGCAAGCACTATGTGGGAAATAATCACTCATTATGATTTACCCCAGGGCAGCCAATTAATGACCAGAGGGTGGGATCACCATAAAATTAAGAGAGGCAGTGGACTCTAAAGAGTGAACAGAGACCTTCCAATTCAGAAGTGGGTCTCTGTGTAATGGGAAGCTGGGCCACTGCTGTAGTGGAAGGAGCCCTACAATATCTGCTACACACAGTTAGGCCTCTAAGCCTACCTGAAGCTCCTGTCCTCTGATCTGCTGCATGGAGGCCACCTGGAATCAGCTAAATAGCCCCCACTGTCTGTAGAAGCTGGAGGCCTTTACTGAGCTGGATTGGTTATACCGCATGTAAGGGGTAGCTATGCCATGCTTCATCTTGTCTCCAGGAAAGCACAATTATTTTTGGTATTTTTATCATCTGCCTGCCTCTGCTTCTGCACCCCAAACCCCCACCCTACAGTTGCATAAACTTTACTTGAAATTCCAATTTTTATCACATTTTCATACTTTGCTTGGAGAAGCATAGGAAATAGTCTAAGGATTCAGTGGCTGGTCAACAGTCTAAAAATGCCATGATAGGACCCTTCTTCTATGGATATACATGATGGAGAGTTTTAATGTGCTGGTATCCATATGTTGCAGATAACAACCATTCTCACTGAACACAAGGATTCTGTTGGATGCCAATCTGGAATTCATTTAATTGCTTCTGTATCTATTGACTGCCTTTTTCTAAAATAAACTATTTCTACAAAAATAAAAATAATGCATTTTTGATTTGGATTTTGACAAAAGCAAATTCCTATGTTGGCTGAATGCTTTGCTGCACTGCCATTGCATAAAAATTGTATCATATGATCCCTAATAAGAATACTACTTAAATATCGTTTTATATGTATACTACATATATACCAACTTTTCTAATGAGTTATTTATTTATTGTCACACATATCTAGAAAGATACAGTGAAAGGTGTTTTATCACCACAATCTGATGCCATTTTGAGTTACAAAAAGAATAAAAATGAATTACAAAAATAGAGTTCATCTTGTAAAGTTCAATACAGCAAAATACTTTGCAATAATCTCTGATACGAGCAATTAAAGGTAGATTTTAGCTTCTGTTACGCTTTTTGATGTTTGAAAGCTGAATGTATGGTAACATGTACTTCAATGAAATGCTTTGTGTTTAGACAAGTGATTGACTTCATTACATTCTGATCCAAAAGTTTAGACTTTTTGAGTTTACAAGAAGGACATGAGGAGGTGATACATTAATGCTTCTTGACATGATCTGTCATGAAACCTCAGTGGAACCACCACCCTCAATAAGTGACATCAGAGTCAGTGATTTGTAGTCTGATGGATTACAAATAGCAACAGAATATTACAGTAAAAAATAATTTTGGTACAGATGTACAGGGCCTTATGGCAGTAAATAGTTCAGAGATATCTTGATGAAACAACACACCAATCTTCAAAGGGAAATCAGTGTTATGAGGGCAGAATTAGACAAACTGAATTTCACAACTAAAATTATCTAGTCAGAGGCCAATAGAAAGAAAAAAAGTTTTCTTAATAGCTTTAACATAGCTGCAAAGCCTTTTCTAATTTACATGAACATAATTACTAATACTACTTATGAGCCCATTTCTCTTGTTTTACCATTTGTTATGTTTATTCATTTGCTTATCCAATACAGTCTGTCTTTAAAAATTACGACCACGATCAGGATGGCTATATTTCCCAAGAGGAGTTTGAAAAGATTGCTGCAAGTTTTCCATTTTCCTTTTGTGTTATGGACAAAGATTGGTGAGTAAAGCAATTTCAGCCTGGGTGGTACTAAATATTGCAATGATGTGATAGCAAGCAGCAGAACAGAATGTAAGTAAACAGGCATCTTGGATAAAAGGACATTGAGGAATACACTGCCACCTCGCAGATTCAAGTTTATTTGGTTTGTGCACAGAAAAGATCATATAGAACAGAGGAGGCTATTTTGCCCAATAATCCTGTGCCAGTGCATACATTACCTATTTAATTAGACACATTCCCCAGCTCTTTTCACAAGAATTATGCCAATTCCCTTTTGAAAATTGGACCTGAGTTAGTTAGCTTAATCTTTTCCTTTCCCTTTGTTTTGTTTTTTGTATCAAATGTAGTGTAACGTTTTTCTTCATTTTCTCCATTTTTTTGTACCTAAGATTTGTAGCTAGGTGCTTTGTACCTAAGATGCTGCTGTATATTGGCAACATTGTACACTTTTCACTGTACTCCTGTTCTTTTGTAACTTGAGTGCACTTGGCAACAAACCTAATTCTAATTTCTAATTCCAAATTTGATTCTAATTTACCCTGTCTCCTTCTCCATTGCAACGGTTAATTTGCAATCCTTAAATTTCATTGCTCAAAAAGATATACTCTTGTTTCCGGATGCATCCTAATCCCAGATGCCCATTATAAATTTACACTTACTAGCATTTTAAGGTGTAAGCATATTTTGAACTGAATGGGGAGGGAAAAGTCAACAACTCAGAGACCCTGCCATGAAATGCCTCCCTCAGCAAATTCTGTCCCATTGAAACTAGCTCCATGCATCCCAGATCATAACTTGCTGAGATAAATTCTCCTCTTCTCCCTGCCTGAAACGTTAACTCTGCTTCCCTTCTGCCCTATTGTATATTTCCAGCATTTTATATTTTTAATCTCCTCCTTCGCCCATGTGTGCTTTTGTCAACATGCATGTAGTCTTGGTCACCTTATCTGAGGAAGGACATTCTGGCTAGTGATGGAGTGCAAAGAAGGTTAACCAGACTGATTCCTGGGATGATAGGACTAATGTATGAAGAGAAACTGGATTGATTAGGTCTATATTCACTGGAGATTTGAAAAATCTTGTAAAAATTGTAAAATTCTAACAAGACAGGGTAGACAAAGGAAAAATGTTTCAAAAACAGAGTCCAGAAACAGGGCTTGTGGTCTAAAGAGTAGGTAGGCCATTTTGGACTGAGATGTGGAAAGGTTTCTTCAGCCAGTGGGTGGTAAATATATGGAATTCTCTGCCCCAGAAAGAGGTTGAGGGCATAACTTTGAATGTTTTCAAGAAGAAATTAGATATAGTCCTTAGGGCTAAAGGATCAGAGGGTATGGGGTGAACTTGGAAACAGGGTACCGAATCGGAAGATCAGCCATGATCGTAACAAAAGGTGCAACAGGCTCCAAGGCCGAATGATCTCCTCCTGTTCTCCATGTTTCTGTAGAATTCTAGAATCCTTACAGAGTGACAGCAGGTCATTTAGACCAGTCAGTCCACACCAGCCTTCTGAAGAGCATCTCATCCAGACCCACCCTATCCCTGTAACCCCACATTTCCCATGGCTAATGCACCTAGTCTGCACATCCCAGATGCTATGGACAATTTAGCATGGCCAATCCACCTAACCTGAACTGTGGAAGGAGACCAGTGCATCTGGAAGAAACCCACACAGACACAGGAGAATGTGCAAACTTCACACAGATAGTTGCCCAAGGATGGAATCGAACCCAGGTCTCCGGTGCTATGAGGCCGCCCTATATGTCTTCTGGGTATTGATTTCCTTGCCAGTGGAAACTGTTTTTCCCTAACTCCTGATCAACATTCTTCATAATTTTGGACACTTATATAAAATGTCCCCTTAGCTCTCTTTCTTCTAAGGAAACCAATCCCAGCTTCTTTATGCTCCCCATCCTTGTAGTTAGTTCTAACTTTGATGTGCTAGAACATCTAAAAGGTTGCAATAGAGATGATTTATGCATCTGATCCTCTCTGTCATTTTGTGTTCCATAAAATTACAAAGTATTAACTTCTAAAAAAAAAAATCACAGATATGGACACGACTCATCATTCCCACAAACTCTGCTGCAGAAAGTACTTACTCTACAAAAATGAACCAATTTATATGCATAGCAACAGAAAGACATACTAAATTAACAAAGGTCTAGTTGACTAGTTAACATCAACCAACTCATTATACATAGCAGAGCGCATTACTCATTGGTTTGTAATTGCAATGCTTGACACTAGAGAAAAATGATTTTGAAATACACCATGGCTAGCAGAATGTTCTGTACTTATACATTGATTGTTAGTCTAAAAACAAAGACATTCTCTTTTATTTGCATCAGTGAAAGAAAAATGTATCTGGCATAAAATCTTCAAAATGTGTTTAAACTTGTTATCAGTCACCAAATTATCATTGCAAAGACCAATGTGATTAAAAATACATTTCAAGGGATTTTCAAATATTCTCTCTATGTAGATGTACCTCTTGAGGCAACACCCACAATGTGTTCCCCAGTGTCCTAGAACATAGGCCACTTACAATGCATGAGCAACTGTTGAAAAGGCATAGTACAGTTTTGTACTGCAGACATTTGTCAGTTTGGGAGAAAGAACTGCACAGGCTAATATTACAATAACAACATTTCTGGCTTTTATGGGCAATCTGAAATCTAAGTCCAGCCATGGCCAGGCACCATACCAATATGCCAAACAGGTACTTATGTGTGCTACCAATGATGTAATACCCTGATCAACAAAGGCCCTGATCAACAAAGGAGGATAACATAAAACTCCTGAGGTTGAACTCCACGTCACCGAGGCACAAGTGTGACTTCATTCATTTTACACAGCACCCATCAAAGTTAGCAATGACTGTACCCATGAAAGTTACAAATGTAGCTGAATTTCCTTTCTCACAAAGAACATTCGGAATACAATATTTGAAGTGTGCAGCTTTGATACCGCCGAGACTCTACTGAGATCACTCATGTGCAGTGCTGTGTACTTCTTGAATTTGACCACAAACCATCGCTAAATTACAGACTTATCAATGGAAGAATTGTTTGATTATATTCAGTATTGTACAACCACTGCTGTAGGTTGTGAATAATGTAAAATGTTGTGTAAAATAGCATGCAGTGATCACTGTAGAATAAATTATTTATGTTTCCATTAATTACTGGATAATAAAGATTTAAATGATGACCTATTCTCCATCCATTACCAATTGTACCTGAACACATTTCACAGAGTTCCTATTGTATTTGTGACATTCCACATTTGTATAAGGACTTTAACAACAAAGGATTCTCATTTTATAGTGAAGGTCTTATAAGCAGAGAAGAAATCACAGCCTACTTCATGAGATCCAGCTCCATCTTCTCGAAATCAGTCCTAGGCTTTCTGCATAATTTCCAGGAGACAACGTATTTGAAACCAACTTTTTGTGACAACTGTGCTGGATTTGTAAGTTGCTTCAACCTATAGCCTCCCGGCTTGTAAAACGTCACTGAGCAGAAGTACAGTTATCCAATCTTGATGACTGAAAAAATGCTATAAATATTTTATCTGAATGTAGTCAGAAAAATAATAAAGAGTTATAGAAGGTATCTTTACTAGTCATTGGTGTAATGGGGATAGTAGATTATTGGCTCTGCTGCTGTCCTGGTAATCCAGAGGTCAAATCTCACCATGACAATATACATCTGACTGAATAAATCTGGTAATTTGTGGAATGATCATCTGAAAATGATCAGAAGAACTGCCAGATTGTTACATAAACCTAACTGGATAGACTTCAGGGTAGGAAATTGTCCACCTCTACCCTCTGGGCTCCTGTACCCATGCTATATTTTTAATGTTTAATGTCCTCAGATTAAACAGGGATGGACAAAACATTATTCCAAGAACAAGAAATCATTCAATTTCTTTTTATTTTTTTCTGAGAAATGTCAAAGGTTCTGTCAAATTTCATATCTTAAAATTAAATGATGTCCTTTGTTCTTTTTTTTTCCAGATCTGGGGTGTTATAAAACAAGGGTACAGATGCAGAGGTAAATGACATTATAAAATACAGTTACATTTAAGAAACTTTTTATTTTTTATTATACATATGGTAAAGTAATTCAGACGGATTAGTGAAGGTGCTAGATTAATGGATCTACAATTACAACTATACAAATTCATTTTTTACTATTTCTGATGTCTTTATACACAGTTAATGATATATGTTTGAACACCTAACCCAGATTGTTTCTAAATGATGTTCTTCTCGAAATCAGCATTTTGCCTCAAAATTTACTGAAACTAAACAATGTGCAACTTCTAACCCTTTGTACTCTTTTAAACAAATGTATGTAATATATAATTTAACCATAATGTGTAATCTTTTAACCAACAACTTGGTGTAAACTCTTACCTACCAAACATTAAGAAGTCTCCTGAAACTGGGTTTGTTTCATTAGTGAAATTATAAATAAATTAAGACTATTAAAAAAAATTTAAAAACCATTTAAGGTGCCCGATGAGTTGAATAGTGAACTTTAAGTTAGAAAGAGTATGGTTTTTACACTCTTATTACTCCAGGCTGATTACATTCAGCTAATAATCTGAACAATCCTTCCTTTGCCTATGTATGTGAAGAGAGATCAGAGATGCTGAAAACTTTGGCATAAGAGCTCTTAGTGGTGTGCAGCAGAAACATTAAAATGTGTGTTCACACTGATGTATCTTTAGAACATTGATTACATTCCAACATTAGGCGTCAGCAACCCAGAACTGACTGATGAGATGAAATGTAAACTAAGTAAATGTAAAATAAGATTATGTAGTCTCAAACCATTTCCTAAATTATGTAACTTCTCTGTGTAGAACCATCCATCAATGCACTTAACAGGATGTTAACAGACAGTTCAGGCTGGGAAGTCAATGGAGAAGCCAGCTAGCAACTAATGTGTGAAAAAGATCCTAATAATGCTGCCAAAATATCTTGTGAAGGGAGCTTTCCTTACAAGTACTTCTACATTCAAGAGGGCATGAGAGATTAAGAAATTAGAGACATAATTTTGGGATGGAATTTGTATGCGCAAAGGATTACAAGTTTATAGATTTTCTGAAGAAGAGTCTCGACCCGAAACGTCAGCTTTCCTGTTCCTCTGATGCTGCTTGGCCTGCTGTGTTCATCCAGCTGTACACCTTGTTATCACAAGTTTGTAGATGTTGAGGTTGTGGAATTGCCTTTAAATTAGCAAGTAAACCATCTGAAATGAAACAACTAATTTATAAAACAAAATGCAATCATTTCTTGTAAAATTGTTCGCAATGATGTGGGACAACATTATTACAATTAGTATAATATGTCTAGAAGAACCATTTATGGTGTTATATCTGCTCAGGTTAACACATCAAGCTTTACAAATAATAGACTGCTGTTGTCCATCACCTGAGTATGAAAGATTGGAAGTTTACTGCTACATTAAATCTTACGCTTGCTGAACATTTTAACACCTCAATCTTTAACCCTATTCCCAACCTTATTGTACAGAGCATTTTGTGAGTTACTACTGATGCCAAATTTGATAGCCATTGCATTTTGGCGTCCACAATATGATGTCCATTTCTGATTGCAGATTGTGGTATGAACTGTCACAAACAGTGTCGAGACCTGGTGGTGCTGGAATGCAAAAATAAAGCCAAGACCACAGATGCCAGTCCAACCTCGAGCTCCACTGCTCCTGCACTTTGTTCTGCAGAAACCAAAGGCCTCAACACTGGTAATATTACTCTTTCCACTGCATTGTACTATTGCACCTTTAAAACTGTAACCTTTTCTAAATATTAATATGTTGAGGATGAAAAATATTAACATTGATTTTGATAATAGATCCATAACTTTGAGTACCGATTATTCCTGGTGCTTGAGAGAATTTAAGTAGTTCCATTTGTTAAACACCCACAAAAAATATTTGAGAAGTTTTAAATGATGGATATTATATATAAGATAAAAAGCAAACATATTTCTGCATATTATTTTCTTTTTTGTTATATTTTATATTACCTTTGAAATTAGTTGAGTAATCTAAAATGTAATTTAATATATATCTATATATATATAATTTATATAACCTTAATAGCTTTTTTACCCACTTGCTCTTCCAAAACACAAACTAGCATGAAGAAAGTAAATTTGTCGGTGTCTTGCTCCTATTTCTCTGTCAGTGTCATTCAGAAACTGGCTTCTATGGGATACATAAAATTGATTATTTTCCTAGTCTAATTTTACCTCTTGCTTTGAAGAAACACATAAGATCCCTGCAGCAACGCAACAAGCTTTAGGAATCTGTCAATATTGTGAAGGCAGCATGAGCCTCTCTTATTTGTCCTGTTATCATGTCACATCTGAGAACACTGAGTGGTGTGAGATAGAATTGCCCTTCAACAGTTGCCCATAGTTATGGTTCAGTGAATGATAGAGATGATGGCTTGAGATAATAGTCACAAATATGAGACTTTTATCTCATACATTGTGAACAAAAGTGAGAGAACAGTGTCTTTACCACTGCTTCAACCAGTTTGGGTGAACTCCCTCCTTATACTAGGAATATAGGAATTGCTGGACAAGAAATGACCAAGGCCAAAATAGTTGACCTTTCACTGTCTTGCTAGCTGAATGATATGACAATAATGCAATTGTTGATAACCACGTCTATACCACAGAAAAAAAAGATTTCAACCCACATCTGAATTGTAGAATATTTTGTAGAAATGATTTTTGCATTATATCTAAACATTTTCAGAACTAATCAAGCTAAAAGTTCTTAGTTGTTCTTCATTTGAATGTGGATAATCTTGAAATGATTGAGCAATAATAATATAAAGCAGTTAAAATAAGGCTTCAGTAGCTGAAGTGGAGTTGTGAAAGAACTGCATATATTTAATATCCTCTTTTATTTACTCTTGGGATGTGAATATTGCTGGCTGTGCCAGTATTTATTCCCCCTCCCTAATTGCCAGGAACAAATGGTGTTGAGTTGCCTTCTTGAACTCTAGATATTTGTTTAGTCCTGCTAGAGATAGAGTTCCAGGATTTTGATCCAGCGACAGTAAGCAATGGTAATATAACTCCAAGTGAGGATGGTACGTGAGTTGGAGAGGAGCTTACAGGTCATGATGTCTCCATCGTCTGCTACCTTTGTCCTTCTAGATGGTAGAGGTCATGGGTTTAGAAGGTACTGTCAAAGGAGCTTTGGTAGCTTGCTGGGTGTTGTAGCTGGGATGCACTGCGGCCACTATGTGTTGGTGATGCACAGAGTGAAGTTTGAAAGTGGTGAATAGGGTACTGATCAAGTGGGATGCTTTGTCCTGGATGGTATCAAGTATCATGATGGTTGTTGGAGATGCATTTATTCAGGTAAATGGAGAGTATTTAATTGTACTCATGACTTGTACATAGTAGATGATGGACAGACATTAGAGCCTCAGGAGGTGAGTTACTTGCCTTAGAATTCCCAACCTATTGCTTTTACTCTTGTATCCACAGGATTTACATGGTTGGTCCTGTTAAGTGTCCCGTCAATGGTAAACCATAGAATGTTGACTATGGGAAATTTCGTGATACTAGTGATGTTGAATTTCAAGGGAAGATGGTTGGATTTCCTTTTGTTGGAGGTAACCATTGCCTGGTACTAGTGTGGCACAAATGTAAACTTGCCTCGTACCATGCCCAAGCCTAAATGCTGTCCAGATCTTCATGCGTACAGACATGATCTGTCTCGGTATCTAGATTCGCAAAACATTTGTGAAAGACTGTGAAATCATCAGCAAACATGTGGTCTTTTGACATTATTTTTAAAGGAAAGTCATTCATAAAAAAGCTGAAGGTATTTGGCATAAGGTACTACCCCAATAATCTCCTGTAATAATATCCCAGGAGTTGTGATGATTAACTTCCAATAACAACAACCATACTCCTTTGTGTTTGATATGACCTGTGGAGAGTTTTTTTTCCCCAATTTCCATTAACTTCAAATTTATTATGGCTTCTTGTTTCCATACTTGATCAAATGCTACCTTGATGTCAAGGACAACATGTTATCGTTACTAATGGGAGTCCATTCTTTTGTTCTTTGGATCAAGGTAATAATGAGATATGCCCAGCAGAACACAATCTGAGCATCAGTGAGCAGGTTATTACTGAGTGATAGTGCTATCAATGATAGGTTCTATCGCTTCATTAAAGATTGTAAGTAGAATTAAGCTTGTTAAAAGTCTATTGGTCTCAATCAAAGTCGATTGGTCCATACCATAAAATGATTGATATGGGCAGACAGTTAGTAGTGGGCATTTCATTTTTATTTTAAAAGTCTTTTCACATGAGTGCACCCCTGAGAAGACAATAACCCTCATAATTTACTCACCTATACTACAAAACCATCCTCTTTGTCTCTTCCTGCTCCCCTCCCTGAGGTGCCAAAACACCTCAAACCAAAACTCCCCAATTTAGCTCACTGTGAAATTGATCAGGCCTCCTTTGTGGGCTTGCATGGAATGCATGAGATGCCAATCAATCCAGAAGGTAGGACTTCCTCCCCAGCCTAGAAGTGGAGTCTGTATGTTTGGTCTGTGGTTTGGTTAACTTCTGGGCCTGTTAGCTAGCTGCCAACTTTCTTCCAGCAGTGGCTTGGCAGTGGGCTGTCTATAATTTTTCCTACAACTCTCCGCACTTTACTCTTTGCACTAATATGCTGGGTTCCTGCCTCAATGAAGATAAGGATGTTTCTGGAGTATCCTCCTCCAGTTAACTGTCCACTACCATACACAACTAGATTTGATGGAATTGCAGAGTTTTGATCTGATCCTTTGTGTGTGAAATTGTTTAACTGCCTACAGCATGCTGCTTGCACAGTTTTTAGCTTATTTATAGTCCTGTATGCATCTCATCTCCAGGTATGCCTGGTGCTACTCCAGCCATGTTGTCCTATGCTGTTCATAGAATCAAGGCTGATCCTCTGGCTTCTTGGTAACGGTACAGTGGATGAAAACAAGCATACATAGAGCACACAAATGAAAAGAAGGAATAGGTCATTTGGCTCTTCATGCTTGGACAACAATTCAATAAGATTATAGCTGGTCAGATTGTGGCCTCAACTCTACCTTCCTGCCTGCCCCTGCTATTCTTATATATCCTAGTTAGTTCGATGTCCTTGTTAGTTAGATGTATCTACCTCTGCCTTAAAAAATATTTAATGGCCTTCCATCCAGCACACTGTGGGGAAAAGAGTTCCAAAGACTTATGAATGACCCTGGGATAAATAAAAATACTCCTTTTTGCATCTTAAATTGCATCTTATTTTTAAATAATGCCCCTTGTTCTAGTCTCTCCCACAGGGGGAACCATCCTTTCAGCATCTACTCTGTCATGCCCCCTCAGGATCTTATACATTTCACTAAGATCACCTCTCATTTTTCTTATTCCCAGTAAATACTCACCCAAACTTCCCTTATAAGATTGCTCCTCATCAGCAAAGTAAAACACCTTTGAACTGCTTCTAAGATAATAGTGCCCTTTCTTAAATAAGACCGAAACAGTGTAGAGTTATACAGTTCTGCTGCTGAAGGCCCATGGATGCAATTCATTGATGCCCAGTTTTGAGTTGATAGATCATCTGTTCCGTGTCTGCAGCATTTAACATAATGGTAATGCCACATGAGTGTGGAGACAGATCTTTATCTTCATAAGGGTAATGCAGTGCTCTTAACTGCCAATGTTATCATGGATAGATGGATTTGTGATGGGTACAGTGGAGAGGATAAGGTCAAATAAGTTTCTCCTCTCATGTTGGTTCTTTCACCACCTACCATTGACTCACATTTCCTTCAGGACTTGACTGGTGGTGGCGCTATTGATCCACTTTTGGTGATGTGCATTAAACCTTTATAACCTTGAGTACATTCTACGCCTTTGACACTCTCATTGCTTCTTCCAAGTGGTGTTCACCCTGGAGGACCATAAATTCATCAACTGAGGAAGGCCAATAGGTGGTGATCAGCAGGAGAGATTGTTGTCTAGGTGAACCTGATTCCATGAGATTTAGCGAAGTTCGGAGTCAATGTTGAGACCTCCCAGGGATACTTCTTCCTGACCGTACACCACTGCGCTGCTACCTCTGGTGGAGCAGGACATATGCATAGATGGTGATAGTGATGTCTGGGACGCTATCTACTAGATATCATTCCATGAGTATGATTATGTCAGGTTGTTAATTGACTAGCCTGAGGGACAGCTCTCCAAATTTTGGCATGAATCCCCAGATGTTAGGAGGATTTTTCAGTCAAGTAAGTCAGATGTCTTTAATGAAACAAAGAGCGACCGATGCTGGAAATCTAAAACAAAAAATAAAGTGGTGGAGAAAATCTGCAAGTCTGGCAGCATCTGTGGAAAGAAAAACAGAATTAACATTTTGAGTCCAGTGACCTTTCATCAGAACAGTCCTGAAGAAAAGTAACCAGATTCAAACATTAATACCGCGTTCTTTCCATAGATGCTATCAGACATGCTAATTTTCTCCAGCACTTTATGTTTTTGTTCCAAATGTACTTTTATTGTTTCTGACACCTAGGTCAATGTCAATATTTTTGGTTTCTCTGAACTGTGTGATGCAACTGAATGCCATGTTGGGCTATTTCTGAGGGAATTTAACTGTCAATCACAGTGCTGTGGCTCTGGAGTCACATGTAAACTATATCAGGTAATGATGACAGATTTCTTCCCCTG